TTTAAGAAAAGGCGGTTGGTGGGCTCAGGTTCAGGAGGGGAGACGCAGGGTTGAGAATTTCTAGGTTTAGATGATGAGGAGCCCCGACAGAATGTACCAGAGGATCCTGCATGATGAGTATCGCGGTATCCCCCGTAGTCTACGGATTCCTATTTTGTTTGGAGTCTACTATTGCGCCAGGATGAGAAGGGAGGTGCCTCTGAGCAAGATACTTCAAAAATAGGGTTGGCTTCTGAAGAGAGGTTGCTTGCCATACACGTTGCAAGCCGTTAGCCTAAGCAGGTCTACGGGAAATCTAGGGTTTACGGTCTCAGGGTTTAAGGGTTTAGGGCTATAGGGTTTAGGGGAACAAGTTACCACATTAACTTGCTTTCTGCTGGAGGTACTCCAGGTTTTTTCTGCGTCCCACTGTTTCTTGATTGGATGTCACTGTGTCATAAGACGGCATGACAGACATCACATCCGTTGGGCATGTATCTGAATATAACCCCAACATAATACCCGATAATCCCTATATAACCCCTATAATCCCTGTAGTTTCCATTTTCTTTTCCATTATCCCAATATATCCTCAATATATCCCCTATATACTATAGTGGCAGAAAAACCATTTAGCATGCTTCAGAACAGCACCTGAGAGCTAGGGCTTGATTGTTCTGGCTTGCATTGCGATTCCGAAGTGAGAGGTCCATAAAGCCTCAACTCCCAACACCCCCCACCCCGCATTCCCAAGCCATTAGAACCAGGCAATCTCACACTAGGTGAGGCCCCCAGAGATTAACGGTGAGCGCACGGTACGGTACTCTGCCGCTATTGTCCTAACGCAAGCTATAACCCAAGGTATATGGTAGTTTCACAAAAGTGGGCCCCAATATAGATCCTAACTTGTTATAGTTCTTATAGGGACCCCAAAAAAGGCAGTCCTAATTTTGGGATAGCTTAAATCCCCAAAATCCCTATACATCCCTATATAGCTCCTATTAACCCCTTTATCACCCCTATAAACCTCTTTAAGGGGACCCCTAACTTTGGGAAAGCCCCCATGTATGGCACTTGCTTACTGAGGTGTGAGGCCCTTGCCCTGGAGCTCGACAAGCTGATGAGAAGATTTCGCTGACTTAGGTTTAGGGTTGAATTTGGGTTTATGGTTTATGGGTTTAGGGTTTTAGGGGGTTTCCAGGTTCTGAGAGGTTTAGGATTTAGGGTGTAGGATTTAGGGTTTAGAGGTTTGGGCTCTGGCATGTAGGGGTTGAGGTATGCCCCAGTGTCTACCTGGGCCTCAAAAGTAGGTAAAATCATAACCCCAAACCCTTAAAACAGCCCAAAAGTCTATGATTTTACCTACTTTTGGGGTTGAGGTACTCTGCAGGTACTTGAGACCTGTGGGTTGGGTGGCTCAAGGGCTTAAGGGTCGTACCCCTGAGCTTTGGGATCTGTTTAAGGAACCCAGGGCCAGTGCATTGGTCCATGTAAGGTCCATATGATTTCCCGAAATAGTTGTACCCTATGATCCCAAAATACTATAGTCCTTTTTATGGGGACAACCAAAAAGGGTACCCCTTATTTTGGGAAACCCCCATCTTGGGGGTCAGGGCTACGACTCCACTCGGAGGACCATGGGACTTAGTAACTACTTATAACTGGGGTTGAAACCCTACTTATAATTGGGGTAACCCCGTATAAGCCCATTTAAGGGGATTATAAGTAGGGTTATAAGCCCAGTTATAAGTGGTTACTAAGTCCCATGGGCTTCCAAGTAGGAGTTCAACCCTAGAAGCCTTGAGCAGCTGCATGAGCTGGTGCAGGGCAGAAGGGGGAGAAAGGTAAACCTGGGAGAGTTAATCCACGCAAGCTTCGACCTTGAAAGGATGGGTGCTCCTTTTTAGTTTCCAGTTTAGGGCTCGGGGCTTAGCCCCATTGATTTAATGTATAGGGTTGGGGCTTTGGGTGAGGATTCTCTGTGAGAGCCCCTGGGGCCTGAACTCCTGCGCCTCCTGCCCTGAGTTAATGTGGAACGCCTGGCTTCTTCCAAAGGCACCTTCGGTTAACAAAAAAGGCCTGCTGCATCCTTTTGTCTGCCAAACGGTTATGATTGTTGTTTGTTGTTGCTCCGCTTTGACCACTACGTCAAAGGGATCTTTTTTATGACCTGCCTGCTGCTTTTATATGTCGCGGAACATGAGGAGCCCGATCCTCCTAGATCTTTCTTGGACCGGTCAGTTGTTTAATGTTTTTTTGGTCCGTAGGTAAAGCGCTTGGTCTGGGGCTCGCAGCTTGGTACGTTGAGCGTCCATCGCTGCTCCACAATTACTAACATGTGACCCGTATTTGAAATGAAGAGCAACACATGTAGGTTGGACATAGTAGTAGCTTTTTTTCAGTCCTTGGATTTACGCTGCTGGAGTGCTTTACTCACGGTACGTACTAGGTCCTAGGTTCTCATTCAAGCTGACCTATGCATCTTAAGAGACTTATCTTGCGGCCGTGCAGCGCTGCGCAGTCACAGCAATGACTGCAAGCTTTGGCCTTTTCCATGATGCACGCATGGCCTGCAGAGCGCTGGCATGTTTGACGGCATCAGCAGCTGCCCGCACGGTAGGACAGGCAGCTGCGACAGCGGACAGAAGTGCTGGAGATCCCCCGAACTGCGTGATTGGTTCGTCTGCCGCGGGGCGTGGCCTCTACGTTACCCGGCCAATAGCTCAAAGAGAAGTTATTCTGCGAGACGTGGCGGTCGTCGACAGCGCTTGCTCACAGGACCTGATCTCCAGGATATTTTCCAGTCAGCCTCCCGGAGAATCCCGCTCAAAGAGGGAGCCAATATGGGGGTTGGTTGCCAACTTCGTGCTTCTGCTGCTGCAAGATCACTGGTATCGTCCGCAGATGCGCGGAAATCTGGCAGCTCTTGCTGGCAGGTTACACTTGGAAAGCGGTGACGCAGAAGCGGCTAGGAGCCTGGTCTGCAGGCTTGACACATTTAAAGCCTTTTACCGGCCACAGTCCCAGGACAAGGACAGTAGCCTGTACAAGCAGCACGCTGATGAGATGCATCGTGCAATGGACCCGGAAATCCGGAGGCTGGTGTCTTCTGAAATAGTGGCTGACTTGCTCACAGTTGTGCGGCTGGATGCGCACATAGTTCGGGCGAGAGCTCGAGTTGGTGAAAACGGTCTGGGCCTGTTCTTCTGGCTGCACCTGGCAAACCATAGCTGCTGTCCAAATGCCTTTTTCCACACGACGCACATGGAAGAGGAGGGAACCCGAGCAAAGGTAACTCTTTATGCACTGCGGCCACTTGATTCGGGGGAGCAGGTTTGCATTTCGTACGTTGATGGCCAGACCCTCCTGACTCCACTGAACGTTCCTCTGGCTGCATTGGGGGATGGTTCTGCAGAATACGCATCATAAACCCTTTTAAGTTGTTTTCTTTGATCCCGATGGTGTTTGTGCATTCTACCAGCCTGAGTAGGTGGGAATGCTATCTCCTAAGAAGTCGCTTAGTCAGGCTTAGTCAAAGCACAAGACACAAGATCCCCTCAAACTCCGTTGAGTTGTGTTTAGGCCTCCAAGCCCCGACACGGCTTTTTTTGTAATTTCTTTCCAAACCCTAAACCCTAAATGGTACTTTCCAATTTATTTTGCATTATGCCCGATATTACCCCAGTGTAGTCCACAAAAAGGTACCCCTTTTGTGAATTTTTGCCCGGACATGATTCCCTGCGCCATCTGAGCTATAGTCTCGACTCCTTAAACGGGGTTATATAGGGGATTATATAGGGGGTTATGGGGATTGTATAGGGGACTACGTACTACAGGGTTTAGGCTTTAGGGTCGAAACTGCTTAAAAGGGGGTTGGGGATTATATAGGGGAGTATGTTAGGGGCTATAAAGGGTCCATACTGGAGTTTAGACTATTGCTCATTCGAGGCCAGGCGTCGCCGGATCCAGAACCAGTTTGGCTTCCTCTGTCTCTGTAGCAGATGTCGGGAGGAGGAGCACGCAGAAGACGCCAACGGAAAAAAGAAGAGGATCAGGGAATGAAAGTCAGGCTTGATCTGAGGATGAATATATAGGGGACTATTATAGGAGTCATTAAGGGGATACTAGGAGTTTAGACCCTAAACCCTAAACCCTAGGGATATGAATGGGAATATTAGGAGTTTAGACTATGGCTCATGTAGACAAACGCCCCAAAAAGAAAGAGAAACTAGGCAAGGCTCCTTTTCTTTATTGTTGAGTTGGCTAAGGGTTTAGGGTTTAGGATTTCATTGTTTGTGAGCTATAGTCTAAATTCCTAGTATCCTCCCTTATTAACCTTTAGAGTACTCCTCGATAAGTTCCTTTATATAACACCCTTTAAGGAGTTTAGGTTATGGCTCATGCAGTTCTGAACTCCAACTTCCACTCCCCGTCGCAATCAGGCAATCTTCACCTGAATCATTAGAAATATGTCTTCCCTTCAGAACTGGTATATCCGTCCGAATATAGTTCAGAGTGAAAAAAGTCCGAAAACCCTCTTTGTAATTATGTAGGTCGCAGGGTATCAGCCTGCCATGTGGGCTGAATTTGCGGCTATCGTAGCGGCTATGGGATATCAGGCACCCTCGCCCATCCAGATGATTCTTGCAGAAATTCCCCACTTAAGCACTGGCCATCTGTGCCCAACCCCCAGAACCCTGAAAACACACCTCAACGAGCGCCGTTGGCTATTCGGCGAATCCAAAAGATCATCTTCGGCATCCAGGTGCGCCGCCCCGTGCCCTTTACTTTGTCTTGAGCAGGCGATGAACAGCAAAGGCATTTTTCAGCAATACAGGAATTATTGACCATTGGCAGCAGCATGTTGACTCCACCGGATCAGGAACCGGTGGATCTTTCATGCCTTTTGCTTGTCATGCGTGTTGCGGCTTGCCAGTTCAATGCCAGAAGCATTTTGGCCCTTTAGGTCGGCAGCGCCACAGCGTGCCGTTTGCGGAAGTCCCTGCTGAACGTAGTCGGGCATGATGGTTGTAAGCTTGCGGCCATACCTTGCTGCAGCTTTAGGCATGTGTGCGCGTGGTGATCAGGGTCTCAGTGGCGGCGGCATCTTCATGAAGATTCAGGGTCAAAGTGGTAAGATGACCTTTGCCACATCAGAACCCATAGGATCAGCGCACGATAGGGTGCAGATCCAAATGGTGAGCCTGGAGGAACTCGCAGAAGACGGCACGGTGGTGGGTCGCGGCGGATCTGCCAAGCACTCCTTCAACAGCTTTGCCACGCAGTCATTTACATTCGGCGCTCCTATGGCAAGGACCATTACAGGAGTAGAGCGAGATGTTGCTGCAGCCAACGGTCTCATCCCGGACAGCCCGAATGGAGGATACATCGCCGCCGAGTACAATGTAACCACAGTGTCCTTCACAAGCTACCTGGGAAGCGGAAACCCAGCGACAGACTCGAAGCTTGAGATTGAATCCATCATCTTCAAGGAGAACGCAATCCTGAAGTTCCAAAACCCTGATGGATCATTCATCTACCCTGCAGTCGCCGAAGGAACGCTGAAATTCAATATAAGGATGAGCCAGTGGAATTGGTGCGCAAACAACTGCAAATCTTCAGATGGAGTAGGCGATTCCGTGCGCTTGACGATTGAGATGATCAATCAGGTAGTCGTCGAGGCCGACTCAGATGATGAATCAGCTGATGCCACGACAAATTCCTCAAAGAGCTTACCTGACTGCTCGAGTGGTGCCTGTGAGAACGGCGCTGTTGAGGATTTGGGTGGGGTTTTCCTGTCCGTGCTCAACACCTACATGATCCAAGCTCCAGACGGCACGGTGACGCAGTTCACGTTGCCAAAGAATCCCAGTCTTACAATCGATCCGCCTCCCAGCACGAAGGGCGCAGACAAGCGCACAACCACCTTACTGCTCGAGTTCCCACGTGCTAACTTTGCGGCGCATGACACGCTCATCTACGATCCCATTCTAAGCTATGAAAGCATCGATGATGCGAGCGCAGCTGGCACAAGCAGCGGAGATGAACCGATCAGTGGAGACAGTGGAGATGACACGGACGCCACCACTACCAGCACAGATCCAACCTTCCAAGATGGCACCACTACCACCACCACCACCACCACAACCCCCACCGCCGGAGATGATTCCGATGGGGTCACAACCAGCCAAGATAGCACCACTACGGCCGGAGATGATTCAAATGACACCACGACCAGCCAGGATGGCACCACAAGCAGCAGAGAGAGCGTCCAGCCAGTTAGCCATGGCAACAGCGCCTATCAGGTCTACCATAGCCTGTGTATCCTAATGCTGCTGGCTGTTTGACTTCTTCCTTGCTGCTGGTTAGATAAGCTAGCTACACAAGCACATACAGTAGAGGCATCGGCCTTGTGAAGCCACACAAGTTAGCTTCACTCATAGCACCGATGCTCGCATTCTTCGCCTTGGGCCTTTTCAGATGTTTTAACAGCTTTCATCGGGCTACTCCGCGGACCATAAGCTGTTGCGCGGGCGCGCCGTTTTCGAGTTTTGAAGATGTACAGATCAACCACATCGAAGATGTGTGTATTTTACACGGATAAGTGTAGAATCAGCTTCAGCGAGGTACTACGATGAACTTCGGTTCTGAACCGACGCGAGTGCAAGTGAAGATGGGCTCAGCTGCATTTGAATGAAGCTGTTCTCAAAGTGGAAAGCGTGGAGTCAGGCGTTAGCGGCTCCAAACCCTGAACCGTAAACTCTATTCGATTCCGCGCCCCAGGATTCGGAGTAGATCTTCCACATTACGCCCGGGCTACCTCCAACAGTGCCTTGGGCAGGTATCCATAGGGATGGAAGCGCGTGGTAAACCACAACTATAAGCCATAAGCCTAGGAGAAGATTTGACGAGAGACGATCACTGAGTCCGATCTGTACGTTTTCCTATCAATGTCAGCTCCGCATTACAAGCGTCTTGAGACTTCCTGGATGATATAGCTCATGCAATGAAGTAGCTTTGGTTATTTGAGAGCGATTGATCCGTGCTTGCTCTTGTCAAGATTACCAGAGGAGGCTAGGTGCATGTGTAGAACCCCAAAGCAGCATGGGATCACCTTGAAGTACACAGCCTCTTCTGGTACAATTTTTTTTGCCCGTGGCAGTATCTGCTGTCGTGCTCACGAGGGAAGCCCTTGCAAGAAACCAGCCACGTACGACCTTAGCATGACACACCAGCTTACAAGCCACACAACAAGTATGGTTGCTTGAAATCTTATTTCATTAGAGAGGTTCACTACTTTTACTTGTTGCACATTAGACATTAGGCAGCAGTCAGTTGATGCAGACTCACGTTGCAAGAAGGGGTCGGGAGTTTTGCGCGGATCGCATGCGGCATGGCTGAAGCGGGGCCCTGAGAGCAAGCCTCCTGCGTTTAGGGTTTAGGCTCTAGGGTGCAGGGTTTGGGGTTTAGGGTGTAGGGAACTGGATGAAGTATGGCCCTGTAATAAAAGGGGATATAGATTTGTATGTGGACTACGTAGGCTATATATATATATGTGTACATATATGTGTATTTATATACATATGTGTATATATATATATATGGGTGGGATATTACCCGAGTAGTGCAGAATCAAATGGACAAGAAAATGGAACATAAATTGAAAACCGGGATTGCATAGAGGTTATACCAAGGGATTATGTCACGTAGGGGCCGCAAGTACAAGGTAAGCTACACCCTGGGGCTCCATGTCAGTAAATAATATCTACTTGGGCCCCGCCGTCTATGAATGCTACCTACATTGGACTATTTGGAGCTCTATAGGGATAGTGGATGGGTTTAAGGTTTAGGGTTTACGGTTTAAACTTTGGGTTTAGAGCTTAGGGTTTAGGGTGCAGGGTATCAAAAAGGGTTACTGAGGACCCCAGAAGAAGGTAAACTAGTCGCCCAAAACACCGAAAAAAACACTAAGTTTTAGGGTTTAGGGTTTAGGGTTAAAAATGCCAAGAGATTATTGTTCTACAGATTTTGGGTGTTCAGGTACTCAGCAGGGCATGAGCCCCTCCACACATTGCATAATCCCTTCAATTACATACCCCTGTAGAATCCCAGTGTCCACTTGATTTTCGATTTGTCTTAAATTTCTCATGTGATTAGTGGGGTAATATCCGTAAAGCCTATATAACCTTCATATAGCCCACATAATCATTGTACAGTCCCAATATGACCCCTCTAACCACCATGTCTGACGTGGGATAGCAAGTCGAGCTCAGCCTAGATGGATTTGGGGTTTAGGGTTTAGGGCTCAGGGTTTTGGGTTTCAGGGCTTGGTGTAGGGTTTAGGGCTTAGGGTCCCTACTTCCGGCATTGGAGTTCTCAACATTTGCATCATCGATTTTTCAGAAGGAGTGCGATAATCAGAGTCCCCGAATAATCTCCAGATGTCCAGAAGGTCCCCATTTTGTAAAACATTGTAAAACCCAGAATCCGCCAACGAGGGAAGGTTCGCATCTTTTGATTCGACTAAACTTCTTTACCTGAAGCCCGAAACCCAGCGTGACTCTCTGGTGCTTAGAAAGAGGGGGGGAGCGAGTCCCTCGATGTTCCCTATATGACCCTTATAACAGTGCCTATACTTACTCCGCTATTCCCCAACTTAAGCCCTAAACTCCTAAACCCTCCCGCAACTTCCATCTTGTTTTCCACTCCGCCTTGAGCAGCCTAAACCCTGAACTCCAGCTTCCATTGTCTCCCCCACTCCCCACGCTAGACCCTGAAAAAGCGCACCTTCCATTTTTCTTTTCCACAATAAAAAACAGAAATAGTAACAGTAATAGTCGTAATCCTTATAACAGTTAGAACAAAGATAATGACAATATCAATAACAATACCAGTAAATACGAGTAGTAAAAATGGTAGTTGTACTAGTAATAGTAATAATGGGAATAAGAGTTGTGACAATGGTGATAATCATAGTGTAAGCGATAGTAGTAATTTTCATAACAGTAATATATTAGTCATAGTAAGAATAACAATAATGTACAAGAAGTAGTATTTTTAAGAATAACAGTAATATACTAGTAATCAAAATACAGCTGTATTATACGAGGACGAATACTCAAATCAGTAATATACTAGCAATCCAGTGATGCTTGTAATAACAGTAATTTCCTGGCAAGAACAAATTAGTAGTAACAGACTAGTACTAGCAGTACTACTGATACTAAGTTGGTTCATTTGGGGATTGTCCTAAATTACTGTTAATACGGGGCCCTGTATTTAGGTTCCTATTGTAATACGGGGCCCTATATAAATTTCTCCATTTTGGGCCTACCCCCATTTGCAGGCCATGGCGGTGGATCCCCCTGCCAGAAGCCGCGACCCCAGCAGCTGCCAGAAAAGCTCACATCTCAGTGCTTGAAGGTACTGCGGAAGCCTTTTAGGGTTTGGGTTTAGGGTTCCTTTTTTTGTGGTGTAGGGTATGTCTATGTCAACTTAAATAGGCCTCAACATGATATTGGACAATCTTTTGGCCCTTACATCAGGGCTTAGAGTGACTTGGTAGTGCTTACACTCTCGTCTTGTAGTGGACCTCAAAGTAGCAGATTGCATTCACACCGCAGTTTGCAGATAAATTTGCATCTCAGCGTTATCCTCCCAGAATGTGGGCCCTACTTTCTTGTGGGTGTCCATGGTACGGAAGCAGACTCCTAAAAAAAACTCATGGCAGGCCTTGATTGGGAGGATCATCCTTATTCTCAGGTGGTTTCCGGTTGGGGTGAATGTAAGCTCCTGTTTGTTGTGTGCTTTGTATGTTGGAAAGCCTATGCTATAATGCGAGCACTCAGGTCCAGAGAGTGTGGCGGAAGCCATAGACAAATGTGACGAGGCGAGAGTCTGCGATTTGTCCGACCATAGCAGTTGTGGCATCCTCTTAATGACAGCAACAGAAGTCCTCATCAGACAAGGAAATGTGTTTGCTGAGGGAGAAGCAGTTAGTGTAAAATCAGCACCATCCAGAGAAGCAAGAAATTGCATTGTGGCTCTTCTATGCTTGTCGTTCCTGTGCTCACAATGCCCTCCCAAACTTGACAATAAAGCCCTGGCGTTTTCTTAAATCTAATCCTGTGGGTGCCTTTGCGATGGTGTCAAAGCCTGGGCCCTTTGAGGGTGTAGGGAGTACAGAATCCAAAGTCTTGAGCAGCGGGGTTTCAGAAGGCCCGACTTTGCTGTTGACCTTGACCTTCCAACACCCTATGCAGGCCTAGGTACCCAGGATACCCGCTATTAGGGGGCTATAGCCCCAGTTAAGGGTACCACCCAAAGGGTCCTAAGTACTTGTATGGGGGATAGTTACTAACGCAAACCATATTGCTAAATCCTACCCTACTTTATACCATATAGGGAGAATCTTGCGTGGAGTGTGTTAAATGCTTCTGGCTTGGAGTTGAATCCCAAACCCTAAGTCTTCGGGTTTAGGGCCCTAAGTCAGAACAGAATGAAACTGATGCTGCTGTCATACCACCCTAAGGGTCCATGTACCCAATAACTGGGTACCTGGGATTTTGGTACTGGTATCTAATTGTAGTACAGGGTTTTGGGAGAGTATATGATTATTGAGCACTTGGCCCTTAGGGGTACTATTGCTGTTGATGATGCTGAGACCACGAACATGAGACTGACTGATGCCACTGCGAAGAACAGTAGTAGTAGGCGAGATTAGAACATTAAGCCCACCCTTGCAAGCCCTGACGCAAGACCACAAGCCTTAAGTCCGGAGCCTTATCAGAACCTCCTAAAGCCCAGACACCATGAGCCCCATACAACCACAGTCCCGTGAACCTTTCAACCCCAAACCCCAAACCCCTCAAACCCAAAAGCCAAGCATCGCTGTGTCAGGGCACTCTCCGGCGGCTACTGCAGACCGTCATTCGGAAGGTACCGTGGCTGCATGCCGTTGACCTGCAACCTTTAAGAAGGACTGCCCTATATTGTCCCTTGTATTCCCAGACTTTCATCACTGAGAGTAATAAGTAATCTATTTTGGGAAGCCCCTGTCTACTGTGAGCCAAAACAAGATCGTTTTACGCGGAGGCATTCTGCCAGCCTGGTTTGCGTGTTGTAGCAAGGGGTGCTTTGGGAACTTGATTCTTCCTTGTAACCCTAAGGGTCCAAGTACCCAACAATCAGGTACTTGGGATTCGGGTAGTAGTAATTCTAGGACAGGTCTTGGGCGAGTATATGATTTATTGGGTACTTGGACCCTTTAGGGTAAGCAAGCGACAAGGAGAAGCAGTACCACAATGGACAGGGGCCTCTTGAATCAAATTCCTGACCTGGAGAAAGC